TCCGTTCGTCTGTCTGTCCATGTTAAATTGTAAACAAAGTACAGGTCGCATTTATGAACCGAATTCGATGAAATTTGACAAAGCTCATTAAATTGAAAAAGGACGAACCCTATTGAAATTGGTAAAAATCGGTTTAGATTTAGATATAGCTCCCATGCATATCTTCGTCTGATTTTATGTAAATGGTGCACCAAAGTCCCTATATATCTTTCGATTTGCACGAAATTTGGTTTAACGAACTGAATTAAGACTAGAATGATGTGCGTTCTGTTTCGTGAAAATCAAACTAACGTGTGAAAAGTTTCGTTGAAATCGGTTCAGATTTGGATATAGCTTCCATTTTTATATATTCGTCAGATTTAAGGTAAATGGTGCAACTCATGTCCTGTCAGATTGACACGACATTTTGCATAACGTACAAAATTGAGTATAGAATTAGGTAGTTGCCTTTTGTAGAAATGCAGGCATTGTCCATATATATTTTCGCCCGACTTCATATTAATTGGGTTCCAATTAACGGGTGTCCGCTTCATATTTTCTTTAAATCGATTTACATAATTTTGTCCCATTGCAACAAACGACTCTATAGTTCCGTTCCAGAACCTAAATGAATCTACTAATTTTACAAGTTTTGTAACTTTTTACACGAAACCCGTTCCGGACCCACAAAATCTGCTAATAAAACTGGTCGAATAAGTTGCACAATGACTTGTTTATGGATTGATTTAAGTCGGTTTACATTTCGATATTGTGTTGTTCATCAATATTTATGTTAATGGTACTTCAAAAATGCGACGTCTCTTAGGATACATTTGTTGAATATACCCCAAGTGGTGAAGGGTATCATATAGTCCGTACCGTACGACATTACTACTTTCCTTACTGTATGAACTTGTTATTGGTATGAATTGGTTTAATATTTATTATCCTTTGATGATAAAGCCAATTCGACGGGAAAACGTGTCAAAATCCCCCAACCGGGTGCTACACCCATGTTTAAGAGTTCTAGGTGTTTTGAAGAATTGAACTATATTTTCCCTGTAACTGTTATTTAGCATTGTGAATTTTTGGAGGCTGACATACATATGTACCCAAAATGATCAATATAGGTCCATGTTTTGACACTGCTCCCTATATAAAGGTATTGGGATCTTTTCGGCAGTTTTAAGATCTTAGCCGTTGTTTTTAATCGAATAGACCGGGTTATCGAAGACGGAAGAATATATTTGGCGATTTCGTGCATGCTTTGGCGTAGCACCCGTAATAAGTTGCGATTGTATACGACAAAGCTTTATTTGAAGCACTTCTCACAATGAAACTGATTTATAGAGAAATTTGTCTATATCGGTCTAAGTTTAGTCATATAGTCGTCATATAAAGGTTCCATCACATTTTCGGTATTTGGTATGTTTCTCATATGGTAAAACATCTTTGCAGAAGATTTCCCATATAACTCCATCTTTTGACATAACAACCCATGTATAAGTTTGATGCGTTGGCTTACAACCTCCCGAGCTCAGTCGATCACGGATGCTGATTGATAGCTCGGGTATAACCTCTGCACGTTCCTCTGCGGACACCGAAGAGCGTATATACCAACGGGCAACGGTTGTTGTTGGTTTGCTCCCCTTGCTTGACACTTTCTCTAACTGGAATATGTGTATGTAGTTGAAGCTGTACAAATACGAAGAGTATTAAAATCCCAACTATTCTCTGCGATCACTAAGATCCTCTGCGTTCACTTGCTTACTAACCGTCTTATCGAGCTAACGTCACTCTGACGCCACCACCATAAATTACAAAAGATATTTTAAATTAATCTACATATATTTTCGTCCGATTCTTTTGTTCGATTATATGTCTATTCATTTTTTCAAATATAGATCCAATATAAATTTTCGGCCGAATTGATAAAAATGGTGCATCGAATATTCCAATTTTTCACACATTGCGACAAAATTTGGCATAATGTACCAACTTGAGCCCAGAATGAGCCCAAATTTAGATATAGCTCCCATATACATTTTCGACCCATTTTTAGATTTCGATTTCATCTAAATGGTGCACCAAATACCCAAAACATTTCTAGAAAGACTTGTGAACAAAATGTTTGATATAATCTTCGAGGCATGAACACGGATTTTCCCCAGCTAATAGTTCATATCCTGATACTCAACGAAGAGATATATAATTTTTATACCCTCCACCATAGTATGGAGGGTATATTAGTTTTGTTTTTCCGTTTGTAACGCATCGAAATAATCATCCCTATAAAGTATATATATTCTTGATCAGCGTAAAATTCTATGACGATCTAAGCATGTCCGGCTGTCTGTTGTAATCACTCTAGCGTCTAAACGAGTTGAGATAGAACGCCAAAATTTTGCATAGAGTCGTCTTTTGTCTGGTCAAGAGTCGTATTTTGTCTGGTTTTGCAGGTCAAGTTCGATGATGGGCTATATCGGTCCACGTTTAGGCATAGCTCCCATATAAGGGTACCCCCAAATTTTCAGTATTTCGGGGTTCTTGAGCGCGTTTTTCAACTGAATTCGCTGAAATTTGGTAAAATGGGTTCTTTTTGGATACCAAATTTCTTCACTAAAAATTATAAATATAGGTCCACTTTTTCTGGTAGCCCCCATAGAACGGTACCTCCCAATTTTCAGTTTTTGGGGGGTTTTGACCGGATTTTTTCACCGATTTTGCTGTAATTTAGTATTTTGAGTTCTTATTAGGTATCAAATCTCCCCACTAAAAATTATAAATATAGGTCCATTTTTTCAGGTAGCGCCCATATAAGGGTACCCTCCAATTTTCGGTATTTTGGGCTTCCTGAGCACGGTTTTCAACCGAATTCGTTGTAATTTGGTTGTATTTTTGTAGTCGTATATGGTAACAAATCTCCCTACCAAAAAATATTAATACTCACCCTCTTTTAGAGGTAGTCCCCATATAACCCCCTTTTTATACCCTTCACCGCACTGTGGTACAGGGTATTATGTCTTTGTGCATATGTTTGTAGCAGGCAAAAATAATCGAGATAGACCCATGGTTCCTTTTGAGAATATACATAGAATCACTTTTTATATCGATTTATGCATGTCCGTCCGTCCGTCCGTCTGTCCATCTGTCTGTCTGTCCATGTTAAATTGTAAACAAAGTACAGGTCGCATTTATGATCCGAATTGGATGGAATGTGGCATAGGTCACTTATTCGGCCCAAGGACGAACCCTATTGAAATTGGGAAAAATGGGTTCAGATTTAGATATAACCCCCATATATATATATTTAACCGATTTAATGTAAACGGTCCTTATATATCTTTCGATTTGCACGAAATTTGGTACAGCCTAATCATTTAAGTCTAGAATGATGTCTGCCAAGTTTCGTAAAAATCGGTCCAGATTTAGGTATAGCTCCCATATATAGTTTCGTCCGATTTCATGTAAATGGTGCCCCAAAGTCCGTATAGATCTTTTGATTTGCACGAAATTTGGCATAACGTACTGAATTAAGCCTAGAGTGATGTCTGCCAAGTTTCGAGAAAATCGGTCCAGATTTAGATATAGCTTCCATATATAGTTTCGTCCGATTTAATGTAAATGGTGCCCCAAAGTCCCTAAATATCTTTCGATTTGCACGAAATTTGGTACAGCCTAATTATTTAGGTCTAGAATGATGTCTGCCAAGTTTCGTGAAAATCGGTCCGGATTTAGATAGATATAGCCCCTTTTATTATAGATTGATTTTAAGTAATTGACACACCATATATATTTTCGCCCGATTTCAAATAAATTGGGCATCAAACTCCTCATGTTAGTCAGATTGACATCAAAGTTTGCACATCGTACAAAATTGAGCATAAAATTATATAGTTGCGTTTTCTAGAAGTACAGACATAGCCCTACGGATGACCTATTTATATTTGTTTGAAGTCGATTTACATACTTTATGGATAGATCTAGGTAGATTCACATTTAGATAAATATCACATATTCGGTAGACGAAATTTTCAGTTCATACCCCACATAGTATGGAATTCTAAAACGACTTAGTCGATTTAGCCATATGTTGTAATCATTTTTATATATCGACATAAAAACTAAAACGTGAGGTTTGAGAATGAACTGTATCGACCCGCATTTAGGACCAGGTCCTATATAAAACATCCTACCTATTTAATATTTAGCGTGATGGACGGTATTAATTAGGCCTAACCCCTTATATAATGAAAACACCAAGTAGTTGCTAATTCCTACACAATGTTGTCAATATTGGTCCCGCTTATATAATATTGCCCTCTAAATTGGAGTATTTTCAGCATTTTATACACATGTTTCACCGTACCATGCGTTAATAATATATGTCATTGAAATTGCTGAATTTTCTATTTGGTTTACAACAATCGATTGGAAGAATTGTAGTTATATGTATGTTCCCTATGTTTTCATTTCAAAAATTTGTCAGTGTTTCTATGGTGGAGGGTATCCAAAGGTCGGCCCGGCCGAACATAACGCTTTTTTACTTGTTTACAATTGTTCTTATATTTTTGATTGTCATTAAAAACAATACCATGCTTTAGTAAGCCAACATCCCGGACAGAAACATATTTTCAATTAAAAATACTCCTAGCCACTGGTTTTAACATCACGTAAGAGGCTTGAGGTGGAAAAACAGAAAAACTCTCATTTATTCCCTTCCTTTGTTCATAATTCAGCATTTAGGTTATGAGGCAGCAAACAATGCAATTACACAGCATTCCAAGAATCGAAGAAAATAATTAATAATTTGTGAAACATTTAATTTTTTTCTTCGTTCTCCTTCCTTCCTTCATCTCCTTGAGATGCATTGGAACATTTGGCCGGGCCTGTTTGAGGTACGATGTGTTTTCTTACCCAGATAGACATCGCAATTTGACATGGCTATCAGCCAGTCAGGCAGCCTACCAACCCGACAAGGGAAGATACAGCGTATCTTCATTTGATGTTGGCTGAAAACTCTAAACAGTTGTCGGTTGTTGCAACAGGCTCTGGAACAACAAGAACAACAATAAAAAATACTTAAATTACTGCATGCTGGTGGTATTGTCTTTCTCAAGGAAACTATAACACCCAAGATATTGGAGGGCAACAATAAAGCACAACAACAACCACTGACGGAATATTAGTACAAAGTCACAAGGTAAAATTCTTTAATAAAACCATTCGAACATTTGTTCAAGCCATTGCCGATATGATCGTTGAGTTATTGTATCTGCATCTACCATGAGCCAACTAAAAAAAATTGAACGACAAAAAAAAACGGATAAAAGTCGGATGGGCCGACTATATGATACCCTTCACCACTTTCGGTATATTTATACCTGAGATGCATCATTTACATAAAATTGAAAAAAAATATATATGAAACTATTTCTAAATCTGAACTGATTTGAATTATTCTTAACAGACGTCATGCAAGACCTAGTTCGGTAAAATGTGTAAAATTTGGTTCTGTGGTGCCTATTGAATAATTGGATACATATTGGGCGGAATCTCAGTCAAAATATTTTTTTTAACAAATCCACGGCTTCAAAAATATTCAAAACCAGTAAGGAAAGTAGTAAAGTCGGACGGGGCCGACTATATGATACCCTTCACCACTATGGGAATGTTAAACAGGACTATTATAATGAAATTGGATGAAATAAAATATGTGATATTTATCTACATGTGAATCTACCTAGATCTATCCATAAAGTATTTAAATCGAATTCAAACAAATATAAATAGGTCATCCGTTGGGTTATGTCTGTACTTCTAGAAAATGCAACTACGTAATTCTATGCACAATTTTGTATGTTGTGCAAAATTTGATGTCAATCTGACTAACAGGAAGCTCTATCCAAATACTAAGCGATTTCAAACAAACTTGTCACAGGTTAGGTTAGGTTGAATTGAGCCTAGAGTCTAGGCTCAATTCAGCTATATCTAAATCTGGACCGATTTTCTCGAAACTTGGTAGACATCACTCTAGGCTCAATTCAGTACGTTATGCCAAAATTCGTGCAAATAAAAGGATATATAGGGACTTTGGTGCACCATTTACATGAAATCGGACGAAACTATATATGGAAGCTATATCTAAATCTGGACCGATTTTCTCGAAACTTGGCAGACATCACTCTAGGCTCAATTCAGTACGTTATGTCAAATTTCGTGCAAATCGAAAGATATATAGGGACTTTGGTGCACCATTTACATGAAATCGGACGAAACTATATATGAGAGCTATATCTAAATATGAACCGATTTTCTCAAAACTTGGCAGACATCACTCTAGGCTCAATTCAGTACGTTAAGCCAAAATTCTTGCAAATCCAAGGATATATAGGGACTTTGGTGCACCATTTACATGAAATCGGACGAAACTATATATGGGAGCTATATCTAAATCTGGACCGATTTTCACGAAACATGGCAGACATCATTCTAGACCTAAATGATTAAGCTGTACCAAATTTCGCGCAAATCGAAAGATATATAGGGACCGTTTACATTAAATCGGTTAAATATATATGGGAGCTATATCTAAATCTGAACCGATTTTTCCCAATTTCAATAGGGTTCGTCTTTGGGCCGAATAAGTGACCTATGCCAAATTTCATCCAATTCGGATCATAAATGCGACCTGTACTTTGTTTACAATTTAACATGCACAGACAGACAGACAGACGGACGGACATGCATAAATCGACTTAGAAAGTGATTCTATGCATATTCTCAAAAGGAACCATGTGTCTATCTCGTTTCCTTTTGCCTGTTACAAACATATGCACAAAGACATAATACCCTGTACCACAGTGTGGTGAAGGATATAAAAATCCACACCTTCAAAAATATTTAAAAACCAGTAAGGAAAGTAGTAAAGTCGGACGGGCCGACTATATGATACCCTTCACCACTATAAGTATATTAAACAGGGCTAATAACATGAAATTGGATGAAATAAAATATGTGATATTTATCTAAATGTGAATCGACTTAGATCTATCCATAAACATGTCATTCGTTTGTTACAATGGGACAAAAGTATGTAAATCGACTTCAAAAAAATATCAATAGGTCATCCGTTGGGCTATGTCTGTACTTCTAGAAAACGCAACTACGTAATTCTATGCTCAATTTTGTACGTTGTGCAAAATTTGATGCCAATCTGACTAACATGAGGAATTTGATGCCCAATTTACTTAAAATCGGGTGAAAATATATATGGAAGCTATATCCAAATATGAACCGATTTCAACGAAACTAATCACAGGTTAGGTTACACTAATTTCAGTAAGTTTTGTTCCTATCAGCCATATATTGGTCCTTTGGTGCGTCAATTTCTTAAAATCAATCTATAATATATGGAAGCTCTATCTAAATGTCAACCGATTTTCACAAAAACTTGGCACACATCATTCTGTACTAAATTCAGTACGCCAAATTTCGTGCAAATCGAAAGATATATGTGGACTTTGGTGCACCATTTACATGAAATCGGACGATATAGGACGATATAGGAGCTATATCTAAATCTGGACCGATTTTCACGAAACTTGCCAGACATCATTCTAGACCCAAATGATTAGGCTGTACCAAATTTCGTGCAAATCGAAAGATATATAGGGACTTTGGGGCACCATTTACATTAAATCGGACGAAACTATATATGGGAGCTATATCTAAATCGGGGCCGATTTTCTCGAAACTTGGCAGACATCACTCTAGGCTTAATTCAGTACGTTATGCAGAATTTCGTGCAAATCAAAAGATATATAGGGACTTTGGGGCACCATTTACATGAAATCGGACGAAACTATATATGGGAGCTATATCTAAATCTGGACCGATTTTCACGAAACTTGGCAGATATCATTCTAGGCCTAATTGATTAGCCTGTACTAAATTTCGTGCAAATCGAAAGATATATAGGGACCGTTTCCATAAAATCGGGCGAAAATATATATGGGAGCTATATCTAAATCTGAACCGATTTTTCCCAATTTCAATAGGGTTCGTCCTTGGGCCAAACAAATGAACTGTGCCAATTTTCATCCATATCGGATCATAAATGCGACCTGTACTTTGCTCACAAAAATACATGGACAGACAGACAGACGGACAGACGGACGGACGGACGGACGGACATGCATAAATCGACTTAAAAAGTGATTCTATGCATATTCTCAAAAGGAACCATTGGTCTATCTCGTTTCCTTTTGCCTGTTACAAACATATGCACAAAGACATAATACCCTGTACCACAGTGTGGTGAAGGGTATAAAAATCAAGCCTTCAAATATATAAAAAAAATCCATGCCTTGATAATATGCTTCAAAATTATTTTTAAAAATCCACGCCTCGATAATCTACTTCAAAGATATGTTTAAACCAGTAAGGAAAGTAGTAAATTTGGACTGGGCCGACTATATGATACCCATCACCACTTTGGGTAAATTATACATATGTCTTGCATTTGCATGCCAATGTTCCCGCGACGGTCTTTCTCCAACCTATGGTAAATTTAATTTCATTCGGTCAGATTTAGAGTAGTCTGCGCAGCATGGGATAAATTTATGAAAAACGATTTATAGCTAAATTGATACACGCTATTCAGTAAGCTGCACTGTTAAAAAGTTTATCTAAATCAGACACCCGTTCGAAATATATATGTAAGCTATAGCTGCGTACGTATGGATGCATAACGCAATAACGTCCTTCAAGTCTCAATTTGATATGTTGTGCCAAATTTCGTGTTAATCGGACAAACATTAAGAGTTTGGTGCACCATTTATGTAAAATTGGACAAATATATATGCTTATGTGGGAGCTATATCGAAATCTGAGCCGATTCCGAAATTTACCACACATCACTCTAGACTCAATTCAGTATGCTATGCCAAATTTCGTGCACATCGAAGGATATATATGGTCATGGTTCACTATTTACCTAAAATGGGACGAGAATATATTTGGAAGCTACTCTTAAATCTGAACCGATTTTCACGAAATTTAACACACATCGTTCTAGACTCAATTCAGTACGATATGCCAAATTTCGTGGAAATCGAAAGACATATAGGGGCTTTGCTGCACCATTTTCATAAAATCGGACGAAAGTATATATGGGAGCAATATCTAAAGCTGAACCGATTTTCCCCAAACTTACCACTCATTATTCTAGACTAAATTCAGTACACTATGCCAAATTTCGTGCAAATCAAAGGATATAAAAGGGACTTTGGTGCACTATTTACCTAAAATCGGACGAAAATACATATGGGAGCAATATCTAAATCTGAACCGATTTTTCCCAATTTCATCAGGGTTCGCCATTGCGCCAAAATGAGCTTTTTCAAATTTCACCCAATTCGAATCAAAAATGCGACCTGTACTTTGTTTACAATTTAACATGGACAGACAGACGGGCAGATGGTCAAGCGGACTGTTGGACGGACATACATAAATCGGCTTAGAAAGTGGTTCGCCCTTGGGCCAAAATGAGCTGTGTAAAATTTCACCCAATTCGAATCAAAAATGCGACCTGTACTTTGTTTACAATTTAACATGGTCAGACAGACGACCAAGCGGACGGACATGCATAAATCGACTTAAAAGTGATTCTATGCATATTCTCAAAATGAACCATGGTTTTATCTCGTTTCCTTTTGCCTGTTAGAAACGTATGCACAAAGGCATAATAAACTGTTTTTAAAAAAATCCACGGCTTTAAAAGCCCCTGATGATTTTTTGTCTTGAATATCCGCTCATTCAGATTCAGCTATAGTTCCGAATGTGTATTTCAACGATTTCAAAACTAGGCTACCATCAATCACTCATCTGACAGACATAAAACATCGATTTGAAAAATATCTTCCAAATATTCCGATTTTTGGTAGGGTATCATAAAGTCCATCCTAGCTGACATCTGACCCATCGCTTTCTTGTTGTTTTTGTGGGTTATTTTGCCTTCGGTTATTATTTGGTAAAGTGTTGTACGTTG